ACTATACAGCATCCCAAAACATGCTGAAGTAGCACCAACGCTATTTTTTGGCTCTCATCATCAGCTTGTGGGCATCATTTCCCTTAGATAACAGAGACCATCAAGAGATGGTTCTGTTTACTACTGTATAATAATCCTCCTTTAACTTGTAGGGTTTGCAAAGAGTTAAGCACTCAATGACTAGTTGACAGGTTTGTATTTCAAACCTAGTAAGAGGTGCCTCAGAAGATTTATCAGGTGATCTTATGCCAAATGCCAAAGACTTTAACACAAGCTCTACTCTGCACACGAGGAGTAGCCATGAGTTGGAATCAAATGGATGGCACCACCATCACCTAGCAACAATTGTAGGGATGACACAGGGCCAGGTTATGCTCCACTCTGCTGTACAGAGGTTCTCTATAATCTAGAACAGACTCCCAGCGCCTATTAACAAACACCAACCCTGAAAGCAACACAAGTGGAAGAGTGGCTAAAAGCTTGTCTTCGGACCAAAAAGGTCTGCTGATTATGGGAGGACCGGACCATTTATGGGAGGAAAATGTGGAAGCCTGTTTCTGCAATGATTTATAGCCTTGGAAAGTCTGTAAGGAAGACCTACTCTGTCCTATAGACTTGCTATGAGTTAGAATCAACTTGACAGTAGTGGGCTGACTTTTTGGTTTTTTTTTTACTTTTTCAGGACGTTCAAGATTTATTCCTCATGGGTACTATTAACCTTGCATTCCAAAATGTTTGGAAAATAATGCATATTCTCTGAGAGCTTAACTGTATTTCCTCACTTGAAATATGCTGGACTTTATCTTGCTTATTAACCTGAAATTAATGAGACTGGCAGGACTTATCTTAATGGTCCTGTAGGGCAGTTTTTTCTGTTGATGTTTTTGCATGGTTTCAAGCACCAATGGTATCTTCTCTCTTTCAAAGAAGAAGCACTTATTTTCTCAAGATTTCAGAAAAAATCTGAGAGTTCACAATGTTTAGATGCTATTACAGACAGTTTTCTCCACACTAGGATTTGGAGTGCCATTCTTTTCTGAAAGGATCCTGATAATAAATATTAAAGACATATCAAAGGTGTACATTCAATCTTCTTTGCAACTCTGTTACTCTTAATGCAAGAGTATTATCAGCACATGTTTCCTTACAGCTTCTGGAGATAAAAGTTTCCTTAGAAACTGTTCTAGATGTCTTCTAATTTTCCCAGTATAGTGTGAGTTGGTCACTGTATACTCTAAACCTACTAGATCCATATAGCCAATATTTATACTATCATTATTAAAGTCATTTCACACAATACATCTTTTTAACTATATTGGCCTGAACAACAGTTCCAACCACGGCTACTGAAAATTCCATTGCCATATAGTACACTTAATGTAAAGAAAACAAAACAAAAAATCCCCACAACTAGACCAGTAGTTAACATCATGATAAATGGAGGAAAGATTGAAATTGTCAAATATTTCATCTTATTTGGATCCACAGTCAATGCTCAAGGAAGCAACAGTCAGTAGACCAAACAATATGTTGCATTAGGCAAATCTGCTGCATAAGACGTCTTCTGTGTTGAAAAGCAAGGTTGTCACTTTGAGGACTAAGGTGTGCTTCACCGAAGCCATGGAATTTTCAATCACCTAATATACTTGTGAAAGGTGGACATTGAATAAAGAAGGCAAAAGAAGAATCAATACATTTAAACTAGGGTGTTAGCCCTACAGGGGACAACACTGGAGACACAGTGTGGGAATTCGCCCGATCTGATCCCACCACACCGAGGCAAAATACTAAGGGCGTGGAACGGAACAGCAAGAGGAAAAGAACAACGAAGTCCCCAGGGAATACCAAAAGTAGACTTTGGGACCAGGGCTTGAGGTCCCATCAGACTTGACTGGAAAACACTCCTAAAGGCCAACAAACAGTCCTTGAACTAAAATAAAATAAATTAGGGTGTTGGTAAAGAACATTGAAGGTACCGTGTACCACTACAAGAACAAATAAATCTGTCTTGGAAGAAGTATAGCCAGAATGTACCTGAGAAGCAAGGATGGAGAGACTGTCTCACAGATTTGGGACATGATTTCATAAGAGACCAGTTCCTGGAAAAGGACGTCATTCTTGGGTAAGTGGAGGGACAGTGAAAAGAGGCATGTCCTCGACAAAATGACTGACACAGTGGCTGCAACAATGGGCTCAAATATAAGGAAAATTGTCAGGATGGTGTAGGACCAGGTTATTTCTTTCCATTGTACATAGGGTCATATTCACCAGAGCCTTAATCCATGTGGGTATCCTGCAAATGGATTCCAGTTTTCCAGATAACAGGACATAAGACAAAGTTTTATGAACTGGGATCATTATCCCAGGGAGCGGTATGAATAAAATGAGGAGTAAGGCAGGAAAGAAAGGAAAATCAATTTGAAAAATAATATCATGAAGATTCTTACTGCAACTCACAATTGCTTTAATGGTCTTCTGTGAAGTGACATCTAGAGAATTTCTGGCCAGTATGCCCAGGAAAAATAAGTTCCCCATTACCTTGGTCAAATATTTGCCACATTGTACTTTTCTCCTACTTCCATGTTTATTGTGTATGAGTATTAAGTGGAAGACGATGGACATCATCAAGTTCATCTCCTGCTTCCCTAATTTAATTTTCCATGAACCATTTTATCTTACCAAAAAGATTTATTATGCATAATCTTCAACTCTTTAGAATTATTAACAATGGAATAAAATGACCATCTCCTTGATTTGGGTCTTGCTGCAATGCTGAGTGAGTTTAATTGACCTGTTTGTGCACAGTCCTTCTAATGTTTACAATACCTAGGAATGTAGAAGTCACAACTTTTATGGTCAAACGTGTCCAATTTCTTGTCTCTGTCTATTTTCTTGCCTTCTAATTGTGAACTCGCTAGTGGTTGTGATTTACTCTTCCTTGTAGAAACCTTGTTCAAGGAAGCCAGCATGCTACAAACATTCTGTTTCCCACTTTTTATCTCAATCTAAACTTTATTTTTCATCATCAGTTACACAACCTCTTTTCTAAGCTACAAGTGATAGTTGAACCAAATTCTTTATTGTGACAAACATGAAATTCTGTCTCCCGTCTTGCAATAACAGCTTTTTCCACATCCACTGCCTAGATCTTAGACAATGTAAAATGTGACCATTATAATATTTTCACAGATAGCACACCACTACCTCTACACATTCCCATCATAATTATGATAGTCTATAAGTTATGCTATATTGGCAACCAATCCAAACACAAAGGATTAATTTTTTATAACAATACATATTCATTTGAGGTATTTCTTACCCTAGGTCATCAACTAAAACAAACATTGGGAAATTAGTAGGTACATAAACATATATATAAAACTTCTTCCTGTCTTTAATGTTTTCTCTTCCCCGTGCCACCCCTTGACTATCATGACCCCAATTCTACCTTACAAATCCAGCTAGACCAGAGCATGAACATGGGTACAGATAAGAGCTGGAAACACAGGGAATCCAGGACAGATAACCTCTTCAGGACCAGTATTGAGAGTAGTGATACTGGGAAGGGAAGGAGAAGGTGGGGAGAGAAAGGGGGAACCGATTCCAATAATCTACAATGGGACAGACAACAGAAGAGTGAGTGAAGGGAGACATCAGTCAGTGTAAGATATAAAAAAACAATAATAATTTATAAATTATCAATGTTTATGGGGGAGGGAGGGAGGAAAAATGAGGAGCTGATACCAAGGGCTCAAGTAGAAAGAAAAGGTTTTGAATAGGATGATGGTAACATATGTACAATTGTGTTTGACACAATGAATGTATGTATGAATTGGGATACAAGCTGTATGAACCCTCAATAAAATGATTTAAAAAAAACAACTTCTTTCTGGAGCTGACATAGGCTCCACCCATTCAGGTTTCATTTGCCAATAAAAAGGCACAAGACCAAGCCCAAATTCAAAGAGGTGAAGAAGTCTGGACCTCCTGCAAGATATAAAGAGGAGGGCGTTGTTGCTGCAGAGATACACAATATGCTACAAAGTATTAAGTTCATTTTTCATACACTGTTGTATAGCTTTGTTTCCAAGACCCTAAAAGGACCCCCTAATCAATAAGGTCTGGAGACTGGAAGATAAAGGGCAGTGAAACTAGAGTTCTGGAAATAGAGCAATCAGAATGCAATTAAAGGTAATATTGACACGCTCTGAAAACAATAACAAATACCATTGAGTAACTTGTGTCGAAATTTTCCAGTGAAAACCTAGTTTGCTGTGTACATATTTGCTGAAAGCACAATAAATTCTTTTTTAATGAAAAGAAGCATCCTCTTCAGAGCCTCATTAAAAAGATCAATAATTGTTGTTCATGAATAGATGACAAGCCTTCCTCATACAAACTTTGGACATGTTATCAGGAAAGGCCAGTCCCTAGGGAAGGACATCGTGCATGGTAACGTGAAGAGGCATCAAAAAATAAGGCTCTAAAGGACATAGCTCGACAGTGCCTGCAGCAAGGGGCTCAGGCATAGGAACAATTGTGAGGATGGTCCAGAATGAGGCTATGTGCATAGAGGCCCTATGGGTCAGAACCAACTCAATGGGAACTAACAAAAATACATACAAACATAGCCAGAATCAGCTAATATTTACCACCTTCTTGAAACGATGTTATATTACAAGCTTTAAAAACCCTGTAGACCGTGGATATGTTATCAGGAGAGACATGTCCTTGGAAAAGGATATGCTTGGTCAAGTGAAGGGCATTGACAGAAAGGAAAGCCCTCCAGGAGATGGATTGACACAGTGGCTGCAACAATGGGCTCAAACCTAAGAAGAATGTGAAGATGGCACAGGACTGAGTGGTGTTTGAATCTGCTGTACATCAGGTCGCTATGAGTAGGCCCTAACTCAATGGCACCTCGTAACAACAATATTCAGAGTGCTTCTAACTTGAAATCAATTATGAAAATGTACAAACCTGGTCAGAACATAATGTCAGGAGAAAATTCTCTTCTTACATCTGATTAGGGCATCTTTGATTTCCCTGTTTCTCAGACTATAGATCAATGGGTTTAGCATGGGAATCACTATAGTGTACACAACAGAAGCCAGCTTGCCTTGGCTAAGGGAATCATCTGAATTGGGACATAAATACACAAAGGTGCCTGAGCCATAGAAAAGACTCACTGCTGTCAGGTGAGAAGCACAGGTGTTGAAAGCCTTTGACCTGCCTTCAGCCGAACTCATCTTCAGAATGGTGGCAACGATATAACCATAGGATATCAGGATAACCAGGACAGAGGCCAGTCCATAGATCACTGTTAGCACGGAAAATAAAATTTGTAAGAAAGAAGTATCAGAACAAGATAGGATCAACAGTTGGGTCAGGTCACAGAAGAAATGGTTAATGATATTGGGCCCACAGAAATTGAGCTGAAGTAAGCCACATAGTTGGATAAATGAGCCAAAGGATCCAGTTATGCTAGATCCTACGAACAGCTGTAGGCAAAGAGTTGGGGACATGATAGTTGTGTAAAGTAGAGGGCTGCAAATGGCAGCGTATCGATCATAAGCCATGGACACCAGTAGACAGCTCTCCGTCAGACCAAAGCAAGTGAAGAAGAAGTACTGCATGGTGCATCCCATAAAGGAGATTGATTTCTGCTCCTGGAAGAAGTCGGAGAGCATCCTGGGAGTTGTTGAGGACACATAGCATATGTCTAAGAAGGCAAGTTTGTTAAGGAAGTAATACATGGGTGTATGCAGTTGGGAATCCATCTTGATCAGGGTAATGAGACCCAGGTTCCAGAATACTGTGATGAGGTAGATCACTAGGAATGTTGAAAAGAGGAAGACTCTGAGCTTTGGAAATTCAGAGAATCCCAAGAAGATGAACTTGGTGACTGTAGTGCTGTTTCTTCCTCCATCTATTACCATGGTGCTCCTGAGATCTATAGAGAAGGGAGAAAAGAAATCCCTGGTTATTCAAGTATCTGCAGACTTTTGAAACAGAATGGAAGATGTTTATGTATAACGTATTCAATGTACTGAATTAAAAATAATACATGTTTAAACACTGTCCTGTTAATGATGAATGCATTGAGGTAGGGATCCAATCGAAACCTGTGTAAGAAGGGATCCAATCAAAACCTGTGTAAGAAGCCGAAATTTTTAAAAATTGAAACTAAGCATCATGCTGTGCTAATACAAATGACAGGCTACCCGGAACCCCAAATAAAATTCTGGATTAAATATTCTAGTAATATTTTTAAAGGGGGGGAATGAGTCTAAAAATAAGTATGACTCACAGTAAGCAAAGTGAAAATAGGACCCAGTGAGGCAAGAGAATAGCGAGTCTAGCTTTAGCGTTGAAGAAATGGCAGAGAGGTCACATCTGAACTTCCTGGCATTACTAGAGAAAAGTAGAGTCCAACTTCACACCAGCCTTAGTCCAATTGGCCAGCAGTTCGAAACAACTCTCAGCTCCTTGGGAGAAAGTTACATTCTCAGAAACTCTCAAGGGCAGTTCTATGCAGTCCAATAGGGTCGTGATGAGTCAGTATATTGACTCGAGGACACTGAATTTGTTTCTATTCCCACAAAGTTACAACCTCAGAAACCCACAGGGCAGTTCTACACCGTCCTAATTGCTCACAATGAGTCAGAATTGACTCAAGGGCAATGAGGACTTTTTTGTTTTTGTTTTAAAGGGAGGCAAATAGTTTACCATAAGCCAGGATCAGAAAACATTAAAAATACAGGGGGTTTTTTGGTCCACAGCAATACCTATTCTCTGTTAGTCACATCATAACTTCTCAATCCATGAGCTCCTTTGGCCTCTGTTTTGTTCCACGGGGAAAGAAGCTGGCCTCCTACTCTGCCTCTCAGTCTAATTGTCTCTGTTCTGAGCATGCGCTGTCTCATCATGGCTCCTCTGCTCTGTCTCCTGTTCTCAGTGCCTCTGCCAATTCAGGCAGCATGGTCCTGGTGCTCACTCTTCCTGTGTCTGAGATACCTCATTCTTAGACCCAAGGGAATGGCAAAAATGATTAATCCCTGTGTTGGAGTCCTCTGCACCTTGTTTGCATGGTCCCACTGAATCGCTTAGTGAGAATGATAGAGAATTGGATAGAAGAGCCATTATAACAAATTTCACTTTACCATAAGTATTGAAGACCTTTGTCAAACAAAGTGAACCTACGCATGGATTTTGGAGGGAGATGTTTCCTAGAACCTAGGGATCTAGAATAAAGAACCAATCAGGTAGAAAATCTATCAGCGCATCCTCATACCAAGCTGGGAGTTTACGGCCCCATAGGATCATATAATTAATATAAAAGTTCAATCCATAGATCTTCAGGAAATTTTCTGTCTACACAGCCTGGCTTTCAGTTGAGAAGATGAAGTTGACTCAAACTCCCTGGGGAATTTGTAACTATAAGTCATTTTACACTCTTTAAAATGCCTGGTGCACACAGTTAAATTTCAGACTCTCTAGTATAATGAAAGTGCTCAAAAGAGGGGCTCCGTTGAAAGAGATTCCAGATTGACAAAAGCTAGGACTTCTCAAATTCTCAACATAGTCAATCCATAAACCGGTTATTATTAGTCTACTATGAGATCAGTACTGTGTGGCACATTATAAATCAATTCATAGTTTTGGTCAAGAAAGCATTGCTGTAAAATGTATTTTAGCTGAACTAAGCAATGTGCATACTACTGCGGTTGATTTTACATTGTGGGGCAGACTCTTCACCTTATTAAAAAATGGAATTTGAGAAACATATGTCTGTCATTCAAGCAGTCAGCGATTACAAAATGCTCAAAATTATCCATTCTCAAACCGTGACCTCAGGTCAATGCCAATTCACAGCAAGCCTGCAGAGGGGTTCTTAGACTGTAGATCATTATGGGAGAAAATGGTGTCATCTCTCTCTTGCAAAATACTTGGTGAGTTTGAACTACTGACTGGTGGTTAGCAGCCCAATATCTAACCCACACTGCCACCCAGGTGCTTTCATGAGTCATTAGAAAGGCAACAAATTAGCAATGATACATATCTCACCGCAGAAATAGTCGAAAATCTTTTTAAAAATAAAACAGAAAATAGTAAATGCTGCATGTGGTGATATTGGAATGCTCTTGCATTGTTGATAGGGTTGAAAAATGGTACAACAACTATGGAAAACTATATGGGTCTTATTTTTTAAAGTTTGAAATAGAGATACTTTGTGATCCCGCAATTCTCCAACTAGATATATATCCCAGAGAAATAAGAGTGTGAATCAAAGAGATATGTGTATGCCCATGTTCACAGGAGCATTTTCACAATAACAAAGAGATAGAGAGTCTAAGTGCCCAACAACAGATAAATGGATGACCAAACTATAGTCCATACATACAATGGAATATTGTGCAGCATTAAAGAATAATAAATAATGCAAGAAACATATTAACATCGGTGAAATAGAAGACGTCATCCTGATTTCAAGCAATCACAAAGCGTGGATATTATATGATAACATATATGAAATGTCAAGAAAAGGTTAACACAGCAAAAGAAACATAAGGTTGTCAGGGGAAGGAGATGGCGGGAGAGGGCTGGGGAAAGAGGAATATTAACCTGAGTGAAGAGAAAGGCATCACGCTATAAGGGGAAGGTCAGTATAACATGACCGAGGCAAAGGAAGACGCTGGAAGTTACACAAGAGTAACAGTAACAGTAACAGTGGTAATGACAATTACATATGCAATGCCATAATAGGAAACAATAGTTTGTAAGTAGACACATTGGGAGATATTGAAGCTAAACAAGTGTAGGATGGTGCAGGGGAGTACACCCATGAATCGCTCTATATGTAGGTTTGGCAGGGGATATTTCCATATACATATTTGTGTACAACAACTACGCCCATGTATATATTAGAGCATATGGGAGACAGACTGGGGTTTTTACTTCCATAAAGAGTTACAGTCTCAGAAACCCACAGGGGCAGTTCTACCCTGTCCTACAGGGCCCCAATGAGTCAGAATTGATGCTCTGGCAGCAAGTTTGATTTTGGTTTGGTTATATTAGAGCTTATAAGAATGGAAGGTATTAAAGCTTTTCAGCCATAATGAAACCCCATGAAGGAATGACTCACTGGGTTTGGGCTCTTAGGACCATAGTTGAATGGCCACCTAAGAGGCAACTGTTGTTCTCTGCCCATCCACAGCAAAGAAGAATGAAGAAAATCACACTCAAGAAAATTGTTAATTTAAAAAGAGTAATGGGCCATGCAAACCACAAACTCGCCTATCCTGAGATCAGAAATGGCTGCGACTGGCTGACAATATTGTTCACTCTGATCAGAAGCAGAATAAAAGGTTTGGACACCATGGAAGAAACTGTAGAAGACAATACTAAAGTATATAAAGACCATACTCACCAGTCTGATAGGGACTGGTGGAACTCTCAAGGCTGTGGTCCGATGACACTTTTCAAGCATGGACATGAACTCACCACCGGCGATCACCTTCCAGCCAAACAACAGAGTTACAAAGTGGACAATAGGACTCATAAACAACATACTCCTCAGAACAATCAACCGAGCCACACCAGAAGAACAGCATTTACCCAACAACAAAATTCAGAGGCAAGAAAGGGCAGAAAAGATGGACAATTAGAAACAGGGACCTCAGGGTAGAGTGCTGTTGCATCGAGGAGACCACAATCAATGTCATTAAACAAAATATACATAAATCACGTGCTCTGTAAACTTTCACCTAAATCACAATCAAATCCTCAATAAGATAAAAATCTGGTTGAACCGGAGGATGTGCATTGGTACAGATAGCAACTGGAAACACAGGTAATCCAGGATAGATGACTCCTTCAGGACCAGTGGTGAGAGGGGCGATGCCTAGAGGGTGAAGGGAATGTGGGGTAGAAGGGGGGAACCAATTGCAAGAATCTAAATATAGCCTCCTCCCCAGGGGATGGACAGCAGAGAAGAGGATGGAGGGAAGCATCGGACAGGGTAACTTATGACAAAACTATAATAATTTATGATCTATGAAGGGTTCATGAGGGAGGGGGGTGTGGGGAAGGAGGGGGAAAATGAGCAACTGATATTAGGGGCTAGAGTGGGAGGCAAATGTTTTGAGAATGATGAGGGCAACAAATGTGCATATGTGCTTGACACAATGGATGTATGTATGGATTGTGATGAGAATTGTATGAGCCCCCAATAAAATAACTTTTAAAAAAATACAGTACATTGCTCTTTAAAAATGTAACAAATGTCTAAATAATTTGTAGTGTAAAAATTTCATATTAAAAATAAAAATAATTAGCTAAACAAAAGTTATATAACTACCACATATCAAAAAAATTAATAAGGAAAATTGTTGCCTATATCCATTAATAATATATAAAATGATATTACTGAAGTATTTGTTAACAATATGTTTGTGATAGGAATATAATGTTTGTTTTAATTTGCTTATTTCTATATGCTAATTTTCTATAATGTACATGTAAATATACTGATTATAGAACAATAAAAAGTTACTTAAAAACCCTATGCATACTGCTGAAAAAACTTGTAGAGGGAAATACAAGAGGACTTTATAAATTCATAGAAATTTCCATTACTTTTTGTTCCATATTTCCACAAATTTTTGAAGCCTCTTCATATTTCACTTTAAATGGTTACTTTAGAAAATAAATAAATTGGTTGACCATGGTAGATATATTTAAGTTAAAATGGAATACCTTATCATTTGATCTCCCTTTTAAAGTTGTTTTAGTTTTTAAATATTTTTTGCTTTGTTGGATTGAGTTTTTCTATGTTTTGCTTAATCATTGTTATAGGCTTTTGTTTGTTTGTTGATTCCTGGTTGTTTTTTGTATTATTTTCTTTATGTGAAATCCAGGATAGGAAGATCTATAGAAG